AAAAATGACTCCCTCTCTCATCTCTTAAAACCGAGCTACGCGGTTAAGATTAGTATTGGGCCTGACCTGGTAAATTCTTGACTAGTTCCCATGCTGCCCTCTCTGCCATCAGCTTGCTCTTTTCATAAGGGATGCTCTCTTCCTCAGAAGCCCAGTCTTCCTCATTAAAGAGATGGTCTTCACCAGCGCGCCCGCCTAGTGTTGGAAGAAATATAACAATAACTGTATACAATTTGGACACTGCAAAATACTCACTAAGGGGCTGATTAAATGAAAGGTGTTGGATCTTTCACCTCAGCTGGACTCATTCCCTGATAAAACTTAAACCGCGAGATTGGAAAAGCAGACGGTCAGTTAGTTTCCTGCTGTTCGAACTCGGTTCCAATAACTTTATGGGCCTAAAGCCACTTTTGTAACCAAAATGTAGGGTATTTTTCATGCAGTGCAACGTCTGAGCTAAAAAATAAAAACAGTCTGTTTCATCTGCTGATATTTTCACTATTTGAATTTCAAAACTATCAATACCTCGATCTAAAATGTAAACAAACTTGCAAAGAGAACCTTTCAGCGGTTACTGCAAGTTTTCTAAACGAACGTGGTAAATGGAAACATAAATAATGTAATTCATGATTTTGCCCGAAATTATGACGAAAACTACATGTTCGTATCCACTCTCTTTTGAGTTGAGCGCTTACCATAGACTGCAGCACAAGAGCTTGTGAGTACAACTCTTTTCACGCCGCCCTTGGTCTTGGCGCAGGCTTCAAGCACGTTCTTCGTTCCATCTACTGCGGGCCCAATCACCTCCATTTCATCTCTTGGAGTTGCAGCCGGGAAGGGAGATGCCACATGAATCACATAAGTGCAGTCCTTAACGGCGCTGTGGGAATAAGAAGCATAGAAAGCCTTTAATTAAATTATAAGGGAAGTTAATGGTTGTGTATGGAATAAAGATAAAGGGGAAGTGGAAATTTACACCTCAATAAGAAAAACAAATAGCTTCCCCCCAAAATTAGGATGAATGTGGTTAGCTTCTAGAATGAGCATGAAACGGAAGGACAACACAAAACATACAAAACAGACAAGACAAAAGATTCTCGACTCAGACCTTTCTGCTTTTCTAATCAGATGCCTCGTTTTTTATGGCTCTGATCTCACAAAAATGTCTAAAGAATGTCACACATGGACCTAGTACATGGCCTGGCTAACCAAAGAGCACTGCATGACTCACTGAGTTCCCAGCTGGTAGAGCAACTGCATGAAAAATTGAAGGCCCTAGGCACGATAACTTGCAGTAGACTCAGATTTTTGGTACTCTTGACAAATGCTTCACCAATCATTTCTTATTCGATAACAGAGCTTAAAATTTACCAACATTCTTTATCCAAAAATATCAACAATTTGAAAATTTCTATCTTCCACACTCCGTCAACTAAAAAACTCGCAAATTATGCGTGTACGTGAATGCGGACCTACTTTTCTGACCCAGTCTTCCTAGCTTGGGAGAGCACGACCACTGCACAACACGTATATTAAAAGATTACATCACCTCGATGAAGGTGTAAGCGGCACAACATAAACTAAAATAATTTTATTGTTTTGTCGTAAATCGCTCAAGGAAGGGTCAATTGCAACAATATAGTCCAAAAACTGGTGCTTTAAACTGAGAAAAATCGATTTACGTCGTAGAGGGTACCTCGAACGAACAAGTGCATGATCTGAATATTTTGCAAGAATGCTTGTCTTGTTCCTTCCACCATATCTTATTAAAAAGATTATAGAAAACCGTGTAATTCGAACGTCTAAATTGAAAAAGGAATTCAGCCATAATTTCTTTTATCCTCCTCTGCGCCGGAAAGGTTTAGAAGAACAAATGGAATCATAATTTTTGCAAATGAATCGTTGCTCACAGTATGCATTTGCTTGATGTAAATCGCCAGAGAAAATAAACAATGCGACACGTCCATGATGGGCACACCTCACTGAGCCGATATTGTTTACATATCATGCCTTGCTATGGACGGGGTTTGTAAAAGCTACAATTAGTCCAAAAATTAAAAAAAATTCAGAGTTCTAGGATTAATCTTTATTTTTACTTAACGATATGCGGATATTTTCGGTGCTACAGCAGCTCTGAGGGAACACCCCGAGGGCTTGCGTGACTAACCGTGTGAAGGAGTGCCAATTCATGTTTTCTTTTTCTGCACTCCGATGATACAAGCGAGAGCTTGACCAAAGAAAATTAAAGGGAAACTGATATTGATCTCATACTTACTCAATCCAAGATTCTTTCTTTGTAAGATCTGCCTCGACCAATTCAAGCTCTGAGGACAGCTCTTTCAAAGGCTTCACTTTCTTTTCATTTGTTAGACTACGAACCGTTCCTCGCACGATGTATTCCCTCGAGTCCACCAGCTGCTTCACAACGTGCATTGCAAGAAAACCGGACGCACCGGTTACAAGAACTCGCGTCATTTCGATGCTGTTAGTTGAGAGCAACGAAGAAGAAGGCCAAATTTAGCAACCGGGTGTGATTATTTGCCCGACTGGTCAAGTTTATTCGGGTCAGTCAGGAAGTGTTCAATTGGACTGGATTTGATCATGAAGTGGACGGCGGAACATGCACTAGGCACCGTAAGGAATACATGCTAATTCCTCATTTAAATTAAAGTTTTTTGTTCGAAACAATTTTACTACCCTGTAAAGACTGCTCTGATAACAACATCAGGTGGCAATCTGAGACTTGACCACAGACAAATCGATTAATCAAAGCTGATATATGAACAGTTGTTTTTGATGCTCATTTGGTAGTAGTGTCAAAAGCCGTACCCGTAACTCTTTAAATCAAAATGCTCTTTTCTTCTCTTAACGGCCTCTTAAGTTGTCCTCCTGCAATTGACGTATTGTGAGTGAAAGCATACAGAAATGAATACGTTTAATTTTGAAAGATTATTTCGGTAGTAGAGATCTGTAAAGTTCAAAGAAATCCTTTTATAGACATAAACATTTTGTATGGAATTAACATCCCTTGAAAAAATATTTATGTCTGTTTGGCTCCAAAAACCCTGTAAAATTTTCAGAATGGTGCTCTATGATGTATTCTCGAAGCAAGATATGCATTAAATTCATCGCTATGAACACTACTGAACTAGTAGTTGAAATAAGACCTGAAAAAAAATTCAGGTCCCTAACGGGATTTGAACTCATGACCTCTGCGATACTCGGTGCAGCGCTCTACCAACTGAGCTAAGAAGCCATCTGGGAACTAGTTATTATATTGGATCTAGGTAAACCTTCGAAGTGGTGAATAATGGCTGTAAACATATGAAAATCATATCTGTGTACTGCTGTTGAAGAAACGAATATAGAATCGATCCTCGCGCTTATGAACACTACTGAACTAGTAGTTGAAATAAGGCCTGGAAAAAAATTCAGGCCCTTACGGGATTTGATTTTGTAGTGTTCATAACTGCGGGGATTGATTCTATATTCGTTTATTCAAGCGCAGTGCACACATATGATTTTCGTATGTTTACAGTCGTTAAATTCATCGTTATAATCAATATTATTAATAGCAATTGCCATTATCATTACTCAAGAGATTATAATCTCTTGCATTTCTGTCGTCTTAATTATTATCATAATTATCTCATTCAAGGAAATCTTTTGGTCATAATACTTAATTTTATCACTGGTTAAATCATAATTTTCTTATTGCTTTTTCCCAGTGTTTCTTGCTATTGTTGTTCCATTATTTTTTAATGATCTGGACCGTGGACAATTAAAAAACCGGCAGGGAGGGGTAGGAAAACTCTAGTTGGTTAATCATTGAAAACATAAACCGTATTTGCATAAGTGTCAAATTGCTACGAAATGTAGACTAAACAGCGAATGTTATCGTGGATATAAATGCGCCTAACTGTGCTATAATCCGAAATCAACCTTTGCTTATGAACGAACTTTAGTATCAGCCCTCGATTAACCTAAAGAGGTGCGTTTCAAAAACGAATTTTTAACTCGAACTCTCACTTGCGTAGCAACCGAACAATTAGGGATGAGGAGAAGGAATCGAAATTACGAGGATAGCTTTCTGCGTCCAAAACAGCTGGGGAGATTAATCCATAGCTGTGTTTGAACGTAACAGTCTTATCTATTTATAAACTGTTGTTAACTCCGATGTTTAACTGACATTTTCCGCTCCACCGCGAGGAAGACATTTTTACCATGGCGAGGAAGAAGAAAGGAAGTTGGACGAGTCGAATCTGTGCTGTTGTTATTATCCTGGCTTTAGCTGGCACAATGTCAATGAACATATTATTCATCTTACACACCACTTCTCGAGGTACGAGCCAGGAAAAGGAACCCATGGAATATGATCACAAGTTTCATAATGTTCCGCAGATTTCAGTTGCTCCTCCGGCTCAATATAGGTTTAATGGAAAGGGAAATTCGCTATCTCGTGAAGGTACGTATTTTAAAAAATGTTCACGCTTCTCGAGCTCGAATGTATGTATTAGGCTTTAGTCTTGCGTGCTTTTGAGGAATTTATTGGATGAACAACGTATAAGTTTGAAGAAAATCGCTTTGCCTTCCATAGAGTGTTTAAATCTCGGTTTAATACCGCTTATAATCACAACATTGGCATATCCAAGGCTCCAAAATGTAAATTATATATATATATTTTGGAGCATATCAATTTACAGGAGTTAAAAGTATGCGTTAATTTATAGAATTTGGAAACAGTCAGCAGCGTAGTATTCTAGAGAATTACATCCTCTCGACTTTTATTTATCCAACGGTATTTACCTTCGGGTCAAAGACGTCGATGCGGATATTGCAATTATTACTAAATGTTACACGAAATGCAGTCCAGTTGGACCATTAATTTCCCCGGTATTTTGACGCTGCTTAGGTTTTTTAAGAGTGCTTAATTTATTGGAGGCTTCTAACTATTACGCATGAAAAGAGGAAAAATAAAATTAGTCGTTATTTTTCTTTTGAACCAGACATTCTGACGAGTACGATAATCACTCACATCGCACTTTTTGTAGTGCTTTTGAATATTATTCAGTTCATTCAGCCATTAACAAATAGCTATTGTTTTGTTTTGCTTTGTTTCAAACTTTTATTTCCTTCTCTACCTTTCTTTCCCTAGGGATTGGGTTGCTAACGGCAACAGAGAGTAAATATGTAGATTTAGAGGTGTTCTCGAGTAAAGAGAATGTTTCAATTACCATCAACGGACAACAGGTGTGAAGAAAAAATTTCCTCATTCAGTTTTTACGTAATTAGTGAGCAAAATGGCGGCGCCGTTATCGCTGAAAACGTATTCTAGGCCCATTAAACCGTAGTTTCATGAGTAATTCATCAAAAATAGTAATAATAATTATGATCACAGTAATAATAATATTTTTAATAAAAATAATAAGTAATGGTAATAAGATTGAGTATAATCCAATTCATGAAGCGGAGACCAATTCGGTCTGTAATGCTACGAGTGATTAACATAATCGGACGACGACCGCGAAACGGGAGTCCGATTTGTTAATCACGAATATGATTACAGGCCAAATTGGACGACACGAAGTCCTGTGTTACCATTAATCAAAACCGTTACAATTTCCTAAAATGAATTACTAATTAATAATTGAAAAAAATTACAAATTTTCGAGAAAAGAAGAATGGGCAAGTTACAAAAGAAAGGGAAAATTGAATTATGATTGAACCCAAGGTTGTGATTGGTTGATTTAAACTACAACTTTGAAAATGATTGGTTGATTTGAACAAGAACTTTGAATATGATTGGCTTATTGAACTGTCCAATTATTGACAATAATAATACTAGTAATAACGATAGTGGTGGTAATAACAATAACGATATAAATAAAGATGATTTGCACAAGTAAGTAAGCAAATATCCTTCCTTTGACGAAAAGGTTAAGAAGCAAACAATTTTTCCAGAGATTCCAGCTTGGGGAACACTGCGAGTTTTTACGTACAGATAATGCCAAAGGGCAGGAGCCCAATGGACTCCTGCAAAGGGTCACTATCTAAAGTCCTGATTTAGGCGTGTATTATTTCTTCGCAAAGTGGAGGCCATTGTGCAGTTCGCGGGACGAAATTGTTACGAACAACTAACAGACAAAAACCTGTATTTCGTAGGATGTCGACTATTTTATTGCTTTGGTATTATTTAAAAGCTTACTTGTTTCGTTCTGTACAATAAAAGCGAAATGTTCTCTCATTTTGAATCAGATATCAGACATAATTTTGTCGGAGTGAAATGTAACGTGTGAAAAATGGAGTAATAGCTCTCCGGGGACATAACTCGGCTAGGAGCCACTTTAAGCTGGGTCATGTTCAGCTTGGTGAGACGCTCAGACTAAAAAAAAACAAACCTTTTTACTAGAAAATTCCGTTATTTTCTTGACGCTATGAAATGAATGTAACCGTTCAACATTTTGGAGAAAGAAAAATGTTAAAGTCGTACCCAGACCCCTCATAGTATCTTAAATTGATTCAATATGTCTAATCAATAGATTTATGTGTTTTTTCTTGTTTAGAGGGTCGATATTTCCGAGATGTTATTAAGAGGACTGAATGTTGTAGTTTTAAATGAAGTAACTGGCGCTGTGATGTCCTCGAGATGGTTCGATACATATGAGTCAAAAGAGGACAGCGGTTATCTTATGGAATTTCTTTCAAATTTAAAAAACGGCAGGATAATCTGTTTTGCCGTGAAGGTGCGTACAGACGGAATATGAAGTATAGAGTTGTTTCTACAAGCTACGAACTTAGGTGTATCCTATACGTGTTGGGCGATGACGAAACCTTTCCATAATGAGCCTAACAATAGATCTGTCGAGCGCAAGATCAATTCATCATTCTTTGTTATGAGAGGAGGAAGGGGTTGGGAGAAGGACTAGTTGCCGGGTACAGACTATTATCTTAAAAGAAGACGCCAATTTTGAGCTCGGATTTCGAGTAATAAAAGGATCTTGGGATCAAAAAGTTCTCAGTCGCCGCTAAGATTTCCGAAACTTAGACCTTCGGAATTTGCGCTCGAAGGCTCTTTTAAAAAGCTACGAGGGTGTCAAAGGGATGTTGGCTTTTACGGTTAACGGTTAAAATTTTGGCCGTTTTACGGCTAATAGTCAACCCTATTAAGACCCTTAGTTACTGAGAAACCTCTGGTTGACAATAAATAATATCGTTGTACCGTAGACGTAGGCGGGACGTATGATGAGCTGTACAACGCCTGATAACATGACCGATGCATTATCTATTCAGCAACCATAATTTTCATCTTGTGTACTCAGCTGAGCGGGTGAAATAGAAAATATGTGACAACGGACTCATTCCTTCTTATCGTTTAGGACGAGGCGTCTCTTTCCTTATCAGAGAGCACGCGCATGTTCATCAAGCGTTTGGGAAGTGCTTACATCGATCAGCTAAAGTGGAGAGGCATGTGGGTGTTTATTGTCCAACGGTTGGGCACTCGAAACATTGTGTACGGCGAGAGTTTTCAGGATGCACCGAATCTTAACCAGTGGGCAAGACCAGTGAGGCTACACGTAACCGCACAACTAGTGGCAGAAAATATTGTCAACTGCAAATGGGACGACTCCGACGCTACCAAGAGACGAAGAGAGTTTTGTGAAAAATATGAAGGATATGGCAACGTTTGCAATTGTAAGTACATGTATAATCTGAGCTGTCATCGAGAGCCGGTAGCCCTTCAAAAGTGCTGGTTAGTGGGGCATCTTAAGCTTGTTACTTTCACCTTGTTTTACCATAAGTTGTGGTTACAAATCGCATGATTACAATTAATGCATTATTATCTTACAAGCAAAATTTACCAGTAGCATGTTTAGATGTTTGCTCGAAGGTTTGTGTGATCTTCGTGGAATGCATTTCACCTGAATAGTTTCAAGTTTTTTCCAGGTATTTTTATGATTTTTTACACTCCGCGGAAGTCTTAAAATTAATAAGCCATAACATGCTTTCTGTAACTTCGTGAATTTGACGTAGTTCTTCATAGGGACTCATCAATTCCTTCTTTGTTTCTCAGGTGACAATCCTCTTTCGCTAGAATTTGACCCGCCCTCTTTTAGAGACAACAGCCGACTGAAGTTGCCCGTGGCGGTCATGGCTGGTAACAGACCAAGTTACCTACTACGCATGCTCTTAAGCCTTCGTAACGTCGAGGGTCTGGATCCTAGTTTGGTAACAGTTTTCATCGATGGTTTTTATGACGAACCTGCCTCGGTCGCTAAACTGTTTCAACTACATGTGGAACACCATGCAGGCTCGGGGAGATTAAACTCCAGAATTTGTCAGGTATAGCGTGCTTAGAGCGTTTAGTCGTAAAGTTGGAAGTTCCAAGAGGGTTTTCCCCATCTACCTAATTTTGTTCTATAATAATAATAAAAAATAATATTTTCATTTTTGTGTTATTTCCCTCAGCATTACAAGAAATCGCTGACAGCTTCGTTTGACAAATATCCCGATGCTGATTACCTTGTGATCTTAGAAGAGGATCTCGATATGTCCGTTGATATCCTCAGCTATTTTAAACAACTTCTTCCTGTCTTAGAAAACGATGAAAGCCTATATTGCATATCAGCTTGGAACGACCAGGTATGTTTGGTGTTGAAAGGCTGGACTGTTCACGGAATACAGCTTAACTTTTTTTATACAACAAAATTGATCGCGACGCTTGAATCGCAAAATATTGATGCATGTTCTGAATTACTAATGAGTTGGGATGAGATGAAAACACATCTCGTCCACGAGAAGTAAAAGTATTCCAAATTCTCCCACGGACGCAGCACCACAGTTTCTTAAGAAGCTTACCCCCCGTATTCCATGTTGCTTGGACTACTTTTTCTACTTAAAATTCATATAACTCTTAATATTGATACAGATTCTGAATTGTTGAAATACCTGGTACCTTCTTCAATTTAACTTTGTAGGGTTATGACCATCTTGCAAATGATCCTGCCATGTTGTACAGAGTAGAGACCATGCCAGGATTAGGATGGTAAGGGATGCATCAGTTTTTAAGAATGGTACTCATACTAAAATTCAGAGATAAAACTATGGCGACCACTTTTGAAAAGGAGATTGCTTTCCTTTAAGATAGCAGCACAAACTTAAATCAGCTGTCTCAATTCTTCGCTTTCGCTTTTGAAATTGCTTTATTCTTAATTCTTTTTTTTATGAAAGCGGTTAGTATTACGTCATCCAATATACCTTTTAACGTAAAAGCAAAGTAACAAACCTTGGTGATGAGGCAAGTTAGTTTACAGGTAGAATTCAAACAGTAAATGGAAGAACGTAGGGATGGAGTCTGATGAAATCTATGATTCATGTGTGGCTTCAACTAAAAAAGGCAAGCCTTAATCAGCAACAGTGATCAAACACGGAAAATTCTTGAAAGTCTTAACTAGATGCGAGCTGAACGATCCTTTCTTTTTCCGCATAATGCGTTGCGGAAAAAATGGGAGTGGGTTGTAAAAATTTCAAAAACGATGATTGAATTTTTTGGTGAAAAATGGCCACCAAACTTTGTCGGTAGCCATCGACAAACCCATTTTTCTCTACGTAACAAACCCCTCCTTTCTCCCTCAGGGTGTTAAAGCGTAAGATATACAAGGGTGAACTAGAGGAGAAATGGCCGAAGCCCCATCAGTCAGCTGACTGGGATATGTGGATGAGGCTACCTTCCAACATCAAAGGTCGCGAATGCATCATCCCGGATATTTCTCGTACTTATCACTTTGGAGCCAAAGGACTTAACGTGGGAAGCTTTATGCAGAATATTTATTTCAAACATCATGCTCTGAACAAAGAAACAAATGTCAAGTTGAATGCGGAAATGATGTATAAGGATAACTACGAAAGAGAAATATTTCGTCTAATAGGGTAAGAACCTTGTCTTAATGTTAAAAAAAGTGAGCATCCAGCTGGAGCTTATCCCGGTTTCCATAGCATGAAGCTGCTAGGAGTATTACTACTCTCACCTGGATGCGATGCCAGTTCATCGTAAGGTTACCCCCCAGCTTTTCATCAGGCTTCCTTGAAAACTCACCGGAACCCATAACGCAAATCATTTTACTCACCTGCTTCACGTTTATCCGGTTGTTACCTCGTTAAATATTTAGGTTTTCCAGTTTATAACA